TTTTTTATGCAACAATTATCCCCTTCTGCCTATCGTGGCCCCACAGTAAATGGTCTTTTTTTTACAGAACATCACTTAATTCAATCGATTGTGCCTGATAGTGTTCAGCTGTGAAAGTCTGAATAGGTTTCATGAGGCATAATAAATGACTCCTTTCCGATCCCACTAGACACACAGTAACACTATCGTGGCGTGAATATTCGTTTTCGCAACTGATGCTGATAACTGGCCTTGATCCACCTATGGTTTTCTGCATTTAGAACTTCCGTACAAAATCCATTTTTCAGTACTCGTAATGATTTTGTGTAAGAAGTTTATCCTTTTGTATTGAGAGAGAAAGCAGATTCATGCAGATATCAACTCTTCGGTTTTTCTTATCTTTCGTCAGTTTTTGAGGAGCTTATTTTAGTTCCTTCTCTGTATCGTTCCCAATGCATGTAATCAAAGTGATATTGCTCGGAGAATAATTCCTAATTCTTCTTGAGTTTGATATGGAAGTGAGACTTGAAGTTCGTCTTCAATTTGTTTTTACTGAACCTAGACGTAGATCGTCTTCAAAACTAGTATTTCCAACACGAAATCTTGCAAACAGCTTTTTTATTGTTGAGTAATTCGTAGAATGTTCACCAAAAGTTGAATTAATTCCACATAGATTGTGAATAGCATTAATTTTTTCCTTTTTAAAACAGAATAGTATGCAATTGTGTAAATGGGGCTTATTGACACTCGTTAATTTTAAAATTGACACACATGAAATGGCAGCTTGTAAATGACTGAAACTCATCCAAAAACAGCAATGACTAAGCTACATACTCGTTTATCCAAAATCATGGGCGGACTGGATGTGCTAAAGCAGGGGTGGGCAAACTTTTCTAGCATACGGGCTTCTTCTAAGGTTTTTAAGGTGTTGCGGTTTACCCAGTGGCGTAGGTGTGGTCATTCTGTATTAAAATTGCATGTTTTCTTTTCTTAACCCTTGTTATCGACTTTGTTCTTCTCTTTTAAAATATGACAGATTACTACTTTTACTACAAAAGTACAAGTAACATAAATTATCGAGTTGAAATATTGAAGTGTGACATGAATATGTGACAGCTAGACGGTGGAGCTAGGACATATTCAACCCAGCGAGGGCAGAGAACATATGTGATACCGATGAACCTGTGAAACCGACGTATGTACTTAATTTGTTCGCCACCGAGTTCTGTGCCATCTCGTGACATGACATCAACACGAAAACCCAATCCCGATAAAGAGTGGGATTCGGGAGGATGTCTCAATAGCCAATCCCGTACTACCGCGGGAAGAGCTGATCATCAACGTTTATTCCCTTCTGTCGATGTGTAGGGAAAAATTTATGAATAAGGTTAGCATTGTAGTGATAGCTTTTTTTTCTCCTGCAGTGGACGTGAGCTTTCAGTGTAGGTACACATGTGTCGCTATACATTTATCGAATCATTTGCTCATCTAATCAGTCTTGTCTATTGTGAAAAGCCGATTCTCTAGCGTTGGTGCTCAATAAATATGTTTCTTATAGATTCGCGTCTTACTTCTTAGCAAAGGCGGTCATCGCAAAATGCCTTGGTGGTTCACCGGTCGATCGCGATCGATTTAATGCCCATCTTTATGCTAAAGTATGTTTTTTAGCGTAACTAACTTCAGAGCAGAGTTTCTATTTGCACACCTATTAATATAACACTGGTATTCAAAATAAAAAGGATGTTAGTGAAATTGAATGTGTGCATAGGTTTATAATTAAAAAAAAACTACTAGCATCGTAATACAAGTATACGAGACAGACATCTTGTGCTGGGAAGTAAATCTAAAAGAGTTAGCTATAGATGGAACAAAAAATAGATAGTTCAAATGGTATTGTTTCAAAGTGTAACCACATGATAAGAAATCTATCAAATAATGAAAATTGGCCAAGTTACTAGTGTCCCATTATTATCATTTTGGATAAAAGTACATTTAAACCAATAAAAAAAAAAAAAAAACGTTACTCATGAATGTGTGACATAATTTACGGAAGTCATGTTTGTGGAAAGTTTACAAAAATAAATAATGAAACAAAATCGATATGAGTAAGAAGAGATTAATGATATGTACCATACTTGGAAAACAAAAATAATGAAGGTGTGCATTTGATATTCATGTATACAAATTAAAGCACTAGAAGTAAGCTTCTTGACTTAATGATAAACATATATAAAGACAGTGACAAAACTTAGACACATATGATAAATTAATAGGAGCCTTACGCACGCGGACTTTTTTCCAACATATAATTTTTAAATCCACCCGATCTTCCTAACATTTTTTTAAAAAGAAATATTTTATTTTTATTTATTTAAAGAAAATACACACTAAGGATAAAAAAGCCTCCGTATACAAAGCGCATGATACAAAATACGATCAGTAAGAACCATTAAAGTATAACTAGCAAATACAAATTAAGAGAAACAATCAGTAAAAAACCACACAATTAAAATTAAAGAAAAACTTTAAAAGAAAATGACAAAAAAAGAAAAAAACATTCAAAAGAACACTAAATATAGAGAATAAACAGAAATACATATCAAAGAGTTGAAAGTAGTAAAATTTTACATTTAAAAAACATTAGAGAACATTATAACTATCAAGTTTTTCAGAAAACCTATTAAAAATTTAAAAAAAAAAACACACACACACAGTGAGAAATAATATATATACATACAGTGGCGCACACAAGGGAGGGTCCTGGGGGTACGGACCTCCCCCTCAAAGCCCTTGATTTTTTTCCGATTGATTATAATTCTAAGTATATAGTACGTAAAATTTAATTAAGTATTTGTTATTAATGATTAATTTTATTAATTAATGCTAATTATTTATTCAATAATTAGTTTTTTACTGTGTTTTGTTCCCGAAAATCGACAAAACCAAAAGGAGCATGATACAAGAATGGTGAACT